CTGCTTCTACAATCAGAAAGACTTGGAAACGCGGTCTTTTGGGCTTCTGGTCTTTGTCGAAGTTGCAGCCTTTTCTAATGATATGCATTGCAGACCAGAAGACCAAAAGACCACATTTAAAGTTATTTCGATTCAAGAGATGTTCTCGCACAGTATCTATGCGTCTATAATAAGATTTACTTGGAAACCCGTCTTTTAGGCTTCTGCTCTTTGTCGAAGTTGTAGTTTTTGAATGATCGCATACTTGATGAAAGGCCAAGACATGTTGCATCAACTTCTAGAGTATGAAGACATGTGCAACGTGATGGGCATAACAAGCCTTGGATCAATGAAGTGTCAATGTGAGATTGATGGGCATGAATTCCTTTGCTCTGCCCTCTTTCAAGTTTAGTGCCGCTCAAAAGTGCAATTGCCTTAGAATCAATGCTAGCTTACGCAAAGTTGCCACTTTTTGAAAGGTCAAGTTTGCATACGGGTCTCAATAACATAGGAGAAAAGCCGATCAGAGAAACTTTCTTTTTCCTTTTTCTTTTCCACGTGAATCAGAGCATAGAGGGCGTTTGTCAAGGGCTAACAATCATCTCAATCAAACACAAGTATCAGTTGTACAAGAGAGCCGCTCGGACTGCTGGGCTCCAAAGATCTGATCTCCCAGAGATCCTCAACTTCTGGTCATCAACACGTGTTAGCTCCCCATTATGCCCGCTTATCACGTTAGCTAGAATAATCATGAACGCCTGAAGACCGCTGAACCAGCCTAGCACCTTGAACTTTATCAGGAAGGAGTTGACACTCTCGACGGCGCTAGTATTCACCCGGCGTACAGCGTCGTAGTAGTCGGAATTGTACTGTGGACCGCACTTGTGTGCCTCGGCACCAGTTTTCTAAAAGTGGAACCTGCAAAGTAGATTGGCATACGGGCTCAAATGCTCATGAGTGCATACCTCCCGATGAGATTGCTGTGGGCAGGTGCTCAAAAGAGACATTCGATCAGTAGAACTCACTGAAAAGGGCGGATTGTGCAATACAAAGCGGCTGCATCGAATAATGTGTTTAAAACTTTTCCATCAAAATGAAAAGCATTTACGTCCAAGCATTTACAGCGCTTACCTGCTCTACCTGTCCAGAACCTTAAGTTGATTATCTTGCCTTAAGAGAACATTCACTTTTGCAACCATGAATGAATATGCAGTTTTTCTCCTCACCGGTCGACGAGAAACCGCACGTCTGCAAAGAAGGCAGGCTCCCGCCGCATGCTGTACCCCCGAAGCTTGCAGACATTGTTGTAGAAGAGAAAAGAGGGCAGATTGTCTCGATGAAGACGCGTGTAAAGAACCGCGAACGCATCTCGCGGAGACTCTCCCCGGAGCATGGTGTGGAAGCCGTACAGATCACCCTGTGAGGGCAGCAGAACACGAAGCCCCCCTTTGTATGCTGCCGCAGCCGCTTTCCTGCCTTCTCACTCTTGGCAGCGGCAACAGGTTGGCATCAAACTCCCCAACAGTGAGACCGCTCTTACAGCGGTGCTCCTCGCTGCCTTCAACGGCCTTACCAAGGGCATCCTCGAACGGCTTGTACTGTGGCAGGGGCCGCTTCTGCTCCCAACCGGGAAGGGGATAGCAGCCGAGCACTTTCTGCTCTCGGCAGTAAGGGTGGTCTTTGGAAAGCGCTTCAAGAAGCCGTCCGTCTCCCGTGAGACGTAGCCGATCGTGCAGCAGCTCGCGCTCGGCTTGGTTAAGAGCATACTCGGGGGGGTTTGGTGGCCGCAAAGTCTCAACGGCGGGGAGCAGGCTATTCGCTCTCTCTTTCCAGAAGCTGTAGCTCTTCTCTCGCTCCTGGTTCCAAGACCCGGGAACGTTTTGTCGCACTTGCAGCAGCCAAACGCAGGTATCCAGCCCCTCGATAGCAGATAGTGCCCATCCGGCTCGACCAACCTCCAGCCCTACTGCCCCTCGTCCAAACAAAGTCAGCCGATACAAGTGGTGGAGCGTGGGCAAAAAGAAGGCCGGAAACACTCCGTCGTAGCTATCCAGCAACCGACGAAGGATGGGCGCATGCTCAGCCAGCACGGCCTTCCCCCCCTCATCTGCTGTACCCCCAAAGAGGATCGTCCGAACAACAGCCAGCGTTGCTCCATGCTGGATCAGATTGCTATCGTCTGCAACAGACTGAGGGGCCCCCAAAGCGTAGAGCAATTCTGCCCACCACTTTCGCGGCGAACGGACTTGACCACGGTTGGCGCCCGGCATAGTGCTCAAGGGTCTCCCCTCTAATCCCCTCCAACAGGAGCCGTGCAGCTCGGTTCTTTGATCGGATCTGCCCAACTTGCTCCTGCAGGAGACGCCTCCTCCAGTGAAGCAGGACGGGCTCGGCATCCGCATCCTCCGGGTTGGCGACGAACTCCGAGACGAGCTCCACATCATCACGATCCAGCGCAACCTAGGTAGGGAGTGAAGAACGAGTCGTTCGAATTAGTCAACTGCAATGGATGGCACAAAAATTAAAAGACCGTGAGCTAGAAGATCTCGTGTCAACCATTTAAGTCCCATTGGAACAACCTCAGCTAGGCATTGCAAGAGGTCATTGCGCGTTCATGGAGCAGAACGGCATCTAACAGCGTTTGCAGCGCTCCAACGCTTTCGAAGTAAGCATCAACCATTTAAGTCCCATTGGAACAACTTGAGCTAAGCATTGCAAGGGGTGATTGCGCCTATATGGAGCAGAATGGCATCTAACAGCGTTCGCAGCGCTCCAACGCTTTCGAAGTAAGCGTCAACCATTTAAGTCCCATTGGAACAACCTGAGCTAAGCATTGCAAGGGGTGATTGCGCCTATATGGAGCAGAATGGCATCTAACAGCGTTCGCAGCGCTCCAACGCTTTCGAAGTAAGCGTCAACCATTTTTAAGTTCCATTGGAACAATCTGAGCTAAGCATTGCAAGGGGTGATTGCGCCTATACGGAGCAGAATGGCATCTAACAGCGTTCGCAGCGCTCCACCGCTTTCGAAGTAAGCGTCAACCATTTAAGTCCCATTGGAACAACCTGAGCTAAGCATTGCAAGGGGTCATTGCGCCTATACGGAGCAGAATGGCACCTAACAGCGTTCGCAACGCTCCATCGCTCCAGGAGTTGCCGTTTTTCATTGCCAGACCGAAGGTGGATATCCATCATGTCCGACCATTTTGATTTCAAGTGATTAAATCAGACTTTACATGGGGTTTTCTCATCACAAGCATGATTCGTTCCACCTACCAGCAGCTCCTGGAATTCACTCTCGCTCAGCTGCGCACCCAGATCCGGGTCCTTTGGATGATGTTGGCTGTATCGCGCCAATAGAGCCTGCAACTCCGGCTGGTGGACCAAGCGCCGCTTCAGCCCCCGCCCCTCTAGCGCGGTTGCACTGAAGTTCACACCGGCTTCCATATGCTTCACGACGGTTTCTCCCGAACTGTCCCGACTCGGAGCTGTGAAAGGCCGTAGCTCGCGGGCCGCCGTCCCTGCGAGCCCCCCCTTCGAATTGCTACCGTCCGCGCACGCTAGCCCGGCGATACCATCGCAGAGCAAAACGTCTGGGTGAGGTCCGCAAAGGCTGCAGCACTCGAGGATGCTTCGCCCACACAGCCGAAAGAAAGCCAAGCAAACCTTCCGCCACGACTCTTCGCTGAGAGAGGGAGCGGCCCCCGGGGAGAAAAGCGTCCGAACCGCCCTCTGTGCGCTGACCAGGGCGCTGAACGCGGATCCAGTTCCTTGAACCGAACGGAGCAGGAGCTGGCAGGACTCTTGCGTGACAATGATGGTTCTGCTCCACGCGTACAGGCCAAGCGCTTCCCCGTTGAAGTGGACGGTGTGCTTCAACGGGCATCCGCAGCAATAGACCCGAACCTTGATCTGCAAGGATGTGCACACGCGCTTAAAACATCGACGTCCGTCCACCTTTTGTCATTTCTTTATATGTGTCTCAGATGCAAAAGCTGGACAGCACAGATTTTGAGGCTCTGCACTCGTCCATGTTTTGAAACTTCTGGGGCACGTGCCCAAACTGGAGAACAAGAATTGCTCAAATCGCCGTCCAGTTTTCGCTGTTTCTTTGTACGTGTCTCATATGCAAACCTAGACCCCACGGATTTGGAGGCCCTGAACAACTATGCCTTGTCACTATCCGCGCACGTGCTCGACTAGTAACAAGAGTGCACGCTCAAGTCGCCGTCCACATTTTGTCATTTCTTGATACGTGTCTCAGATGCAAAACCTGGACAGCATAGATTTTGAGGCTTTGCACTCGTCCATGTTTTTGAACTTGTGGGGCACGTGCCCAAACTGGAGAACAAGAATGCGCTCAAATCGCTGTCTAGTTTTCGCAGTTTCTTTATACGTGTCTCATATGCAAAATATTGGACAGCGCAATTTGACTAGAATGCGAGCAAGGTACGAGAAAAACGGTCTGGATGTCTTGTCCACTTGCTGGACTCAAGTCCAGAGGTCACGACTGCTTTTGCAGTTCTCGATGCGCTTTGCATCTTCAAAGGCTCTCAGTTCCGAAGCTGCAGAAAGGTGACGTTTAACTTTGATCTGACAAAGCTTTGCATCAAATTCCAATAGCCTACCTCTAGCGACCATCGCAGTGAATGCACCGATGCGCTCTGCAGCAACGCTTGCCACGCGGTGCCACAGGGAGCCAGTCCGGGCTTTGGGCAAGGTGCAGTCAAGCACCCCGCAGCGCTCAGCTCCTCGAAGTCCCTCGCCACGAGCTCGCTCACTCCGAACGGGCAGCTGCAGCGAAGTCACTTGCGGATCGTGCACCTCAAAGCTGTCAGCCGGCCGGACCAGCTTAGGGACCTCGAGCTGCACACCTTTGGCGTCTAGGGGCAGCACCGGAGCCCAGAGCGGACTTTCGGTATTATGGGGGCAAGCCGATGCTGGGCATACGCAGCTTGTGCACACTCTAGTTGCGCCGCTCATTGCATCCTTTCCGTCCCCTCCACCCAACGCCTGTTGCGCAGCGTCCGGATGCACAAGCTCCTCGTTTTCAGACTGCAACGCTCCCGTTTTCGTCAACTGCCCACCACCCTGCACTTCCTGAGCTGCCCAAAACCCTTTAGACCTCTTCGGCCCCCGTCCTGAGCAACGATCTCCCGGCTCCTGTCTTCCTCTCTTTCCCCCAGACTCGTTTGCGTCAGTGCCGACGTTGCAGCATCCGTCCTCACAAGTTCCCCGCTCGAAATCTGCCCCACCGAAGAGCTGCTCGTGCTTCTTACAGAAGCACAAGGCCCCTTTGCAGCTTGCCTCATGAGGCTGGCCCACGAGAAGCTCCATCAGGTATTGTTCGACGGAAGACAGATCGGACGGCACTTCTCCCGGGCCTCCCTCTTTCAACTCCGGCGCCCCGTTTCTCTCCTCCTTCCTGTCCGTTTCGAGTAGCCAGGCACGTGCCTTTGCCAGTCGATCCTCGGAGAACAAGCAGCCGCTCACTCTCTCGATGCTTCTGCCCGAATTCCGGAGAGCGTCTTTGACAGCTCGTATGTGGCCGCAATCCCCCGACGTATTGCAGCCCGACTGCTTGCCCTCGCAGTACCACTCCTCCGGCGTGCCCTCATGCTTGTGCACCATTGTTCGCTTGGGAGAAGGGGAAGCTGCGTTCCAATAAACGCCAAAGACCCGCTCAGGCCCTCTGCTGCACGGAACCTCGATCACCCGCCTGCCCTTCTGGAGTGCATCGTGGCTGGCTTGCCGGCGCTACCCCAAAGCTTCGAGTGCCAACTTGTGGACGCATGGAGCATCCGGACCTAGGCGCCCGCGATCGCAGGTGCAGCTGGCCTTCCCAATGGTGTCCCAGTGCACCGTTTCCAGCAGGGCTTTGTCTTTGCTCGGTCGTCCAAGCGGCTTTGGCCTGCCATAGTTGTGGTTCCAGAAGGTCATGAGGAAGACCATGCCAGTGGAACCATCGTCTCTCCATTCGGAACCATCTCCCAGCTCATAGATTGAGCACGTCCCGTTCTGAACGCCCGCGAGGAACTTCGTCGCTTGAGAGGTGAGGGGAGAGACGGCCCTGCTGTCTGAAATCTCAGCAGGTTCTTCCTGCAAAGAGGTACATGCATCTGAAGCTCTCACCGAGTATAAGCTGCTAGAAGAGATAACACTGTTTCTGCGTCCAATCAAAACGTACTTAAAGCTGAAAGTCAGATTGAAGATAGAAATGCATACGCTTGAACAAATTCATGCCTGCCACAAATGGGTGAATAGCTCTGCATTCGAGTTCCAGAATAAATAACTCTGCTTGAAGGAAGGACTGCGTGCGCAGTGAAGGCTCTAGCAGTTTGAGCTGCTTTCTTGTACAATCAGAGTGAAAAGGGAAGAGTGGTCTGGAGCCACCTTCTGGCACCTTTTATTTATAACTTGTAAAGTAAGTATACACATGCCATTGCTATGCTTTTTTCCAATGGCATGGCACCTTGGCACCTTGGCACCTCATCCTCGTTCTTGAAACCTTTTCCCAACTCACCATGACTGAAGAAAAAGCAAGCGGTGGTGGTGCCAGGGTGCCATTGGATGGGAACCAACTTTGAAGAAGATTGTGACGGTTGGACAGGGTTCACACGCTGCC